ATATTGGCATCTAACCGTGCTAGTCAGGTATGAAATGACTTCATTTTTATTCTTTGAAGACATTGAATTATTTTGTTGTTATTGTTTGAGACAGGCATTCACTACATAGCCCAGGCTGCTTTGGAATTCACTATGTAACCCAGGACGAGCTCATACTTACCGCAATTCTCCTTCCTCAATCTTCCATTCTAGGATTGCATGTGTGAGCCACCCTATTCAGCTTACAGCTCAACACCCTCCCCCTCCCCTGCTCTCATCTTCCCTCTGTGTGCGTATTTCAGGTATGTTCCATGATCTGGTTCATACTTCTGGCTTGAAATATAAAGTCAGCTGAATAAATGTCAGTAATTTTAAACTTGTTCATTCTCTCGTACTTTTTTCCCCCACAAATTCAGCTTTTATGCCACCTTTCTATCATATTTCTGGATCCTTCACCAATGTTCCATGAGGAAGAAACAAAAGCAAAACAAATGAAAAACTGAAATCAGAATCACTAAATGCTATCAAGGAGGGAAACAAATTACAATCAAGAGCAATCAGCAAGAGTACAGCAAAAAAAATGTGAAAAGAAACTGAAGATTCCTAGAAAACTGTGTTGAGGCTCTTATATCAGCAGAACACTCCTTCATGGAGTGGAACAGAAACAGATCTTTTTCCTGCTAAGGTACTAGAAATACACATTCTTTTTGAGTGATGTGGAAAGGCAAATGTGTCTGTAATGGTAATTCTAATCAGCTGCTACAGAGTGACCCAGAAACACATTTGTGGATTTTGGAGATGACATACACTGTAATTCTTTGATTGGGATAGTGGACACTCTAGAAAAAAGTGAACACAGAAGAACAAGACAAAAGTGAATAAAACTTCTCTTATATCTTAGAAACATTTACATGGAATCAAATTTTAGTGCAGTCACTCTGCTTTGATGAGGCTTTACTTCAGCTCCTGATCTCAATTGCTTGACCTAAGTATGCTGTGAGGATACTTAGAAGGTGTCTTCTTGAACAGCAAACCTATTTTTAGTGATGGAGCTACTCTTTATAGTGTCTTCTTGGGATTGATAACTAACAGCTATCTTTGGAGAAAGTCCTAACCTTTCCTTGTATACCCTTTGTATGTGTGTGACTGCTTCTCTGTTTTCACACTCAGGACTCCATAGTGGTGTCTTATCACCATTAGCTCTGACATTAACAAGAGCTCCACATACATCATCACTAGAGTCATCAGAAGATTCTCTAACAAGGCACAGTATAGTCTAGCCCAAAGTGACCAAACTCACTTCATCTCTGTGTTTGTTTCTCATTTTCCCACATAGGCATTTAATTACTAGAGAGCTAGATAAGGTTGTATAGAGTCCCAAAGTCTTCCACAGTATCAAAATTAGAGATCAGTTGAAGGTTTGCTTGATGAGTTTTGATTTTTATCATTTTTATTTTTTAAATATTTAATATGGTGTAACTTTATGATTAGATTCTGATTTTTCCTCTTCAGTAGGTGGGGAATTAGAGGCAGGCATGTTTCCACAGTTATCTTGGAGCAATGTCTCTCTCCTTTTTGTTTTAATTTCCTTTATTTTTATCTTTATATCATTTCTAGATATGCTCAAAACCCTCAAATCTCCTATCTTGAAACCATTATATGCTGAATCTTTTCTAGTTTATAACTTAAAAATATTAAAATGTAAAACTCCTGACATATATGTATATGCTGTATGTACTATATATCTATGTATTGTGTTTAAAAACATTCTGAATTATTTTTACAGGTTTTCAAGTGTTACTTGGTTCAAGAGAAGGTTCATTATAGGCTAGAAGGAGATATGTAGCATTGTTCCACTATAACTCAATACCTATGTCACCTTTTCATGCTGCAACTTAAAGTGTTTCAAAGTGATTATTTGGCTGAACTTGACAGCCTCCCTCTGACACATTACCTTTCTTTCTGGAAGAGTATGCCAAAATTTCATCTGTGTTGTATGTGTCAAGATTTACTTCCTTTTCTTTCAAATAATTCTGAGATTAAGTTGCTCTATTGCTCTTAATATTCTGACAGCATGGGACTGTAGAGATGGCTCAGTGCTTAAGAGCACTTGCTGTTCTTCCAGAGGACCAATTCCCAGCACACATGGTGGAGCAAAACTGTCTATAGCTACAGTCCCAGTGGATCTAACCCCCTCTTCTGGCCCCAAAAGGCACTGTAATCAAGAGGTACACAGGCATACATGCAAGCAAAACATTCATACATATAAAATAAAAATGAAGGTTAAAATATTTTGATAGCATTATGTAAGAATTTTATTGAATATATAATTTTAATACAAAGGTAATTTGTATCTGTAAATTGAATCATTAGTATTACACTGTCTGTGACTACCATATATTTACTCAGTGATACTGACATAATATCTTTAAACTCTGAAAAGATCTAATGCATTTTTAATTTTATTGAAGGTAGAAGAATACTATTTTATGCTCATTAATATTAAGCAGTTTTCTTATTGCCTTCTATGTACACTATCATATTCTCTATATTTATTTAATTTCCTCTTTCTTTTACAGTATTTTTGTGCCATAGATACCTTTATTTTCTCATGGTGCTAGATAAAATATTTATTTTTCCAGAATTAAAGACTAAGATTTCAAAGATTTTTTCTTATACAAATGATGTTTATAATATTTTTAATACATGTTTTAAAAACTTTATTAAGAAAAGGAAGGTCCCTTAGTTTCTACTTACAAAGACTCAGAATATAGTCCACAGCATTTCCCTATGTCATATCATTATGACACCTTTGGGAGTTTCTTCACCATAGCCATTTTAAATTGCCCAGATAATATAATAAATAACAATATTGCTTTATGTTTTATTTTCAGGGAGAGTCAAGTCACCCTCAAACTCATACTTACTTGAACATTATTGGTGGAACCCTAATGTTAAAGATGAGCTTAAACAATCCTACACAGGAGTGGGGTGCCGCCCTCAGCTTTCTCTTGAAATGGAATGTACATATCAGAGTGGAAAAATAAGCTGCTGGGTGCATCTGTTCCCCAGAGTTCTCACAGAAAGCCCTACTGACTGTCATCTGTCCATAGCACATCTCATAGTGACCATTTTAATAAAAGGGACACAGCCGATTGATGCTCAGATATCCCATGTAGTCAGATGATATTCTTCTTTTTACATTGGTTGTCTTTATTTATATGTCCTCTACTTTCTTTGGTGAAGGATGTGGGAAACTTTAAAGCAGCTTTTAAATGGCCCATCATGGTCATTTGCTTGGTCATATGCTCTGCGCAGTATGCTTCTCTTTATTCTTGACTTCAGAGTCATTTTATTCTGTCAAGATATTTTTGTTTTTACTTCCCTTTCATTTCTTTGCTATTTTTAAGTATTTAAGCAAAGAAATATACATTGTAGATCTTTATTACTTCAGACAGTATATTTCTTTTAACTTTTATTAGCTGAAAATTAGTAAAGAGAAACAAATAGAAGAGTACTGAGGAGCACCATGGCAAATGCACACTATTCATCATTTTGAGTGCCTGATAATAATGAAGAATGTAATTATTTTATTTTAAAGTATAGCTAAAATAAAAGTAAGCTAATTGCTGCATTTCACAGGGAGTAAAAGCCAAGATTGTCCTCAGTAACAAGGATAATTTAAAAGATCATGACATGTAACTTTGCTGGTTCTAAACACATGAATGTGTATGCTTGAAAATCAAGCGATTATATGATCCAGAGGAAGAAAAATCAATATGTTGAAGAGACACCTCCATTCAATGTTCATGCAGCACTGTTCACAAGATGACAAAAAATGGAAACCACCTATACATCTATTGAGGGTTGATAAATGAGGAAATATGGCATATATATGTACTGAAATAAAGTCCAATCTTTTTAAAAGCAGGAAATCCCAGCATTTGTGATGACTCTCATGAACATGGATGACATTATGTTAAGTAAAATAATTCAAACACAGAGCAACATACATGATATTTCTTATACACATTATGTATAAAAGTTGAACTCATATAGACAGAATGTCTAATAGTGTTTGCTAGATTCTAGTCATGTGGGCTGGACCATACTGGGCAAAGTAGGAACAAAGTTTCAGTTAGGATGAGTAAGTTCTAGAATCTGTTGCATAGCATTGTGACTATACTTAATAACAGTGTATAGAGTACTTGACAATTTCTAAGACAGTAGAATTTAAATGTTCTTATCACCCACACAAAGGTAAATATTTTAGCTGATAGATATCTTAATAATTTGGCTATAGGAATCACTTCACAACATCAGGAGGTATCAGAACACTGTATTGCATACCATTACTATATATATATATATTGTCAGTAACATCTCAATAAATAAAAATGAAAAATGAATACATTAATAGAGTTGTACCGAACATTTTCTTTTGCTATTTTACTCATAAACTAATACATTTGTTCTTGTCCTAATTTCATAAAATGTGTCATTATAAAATAATCTAATGTCTCTATAGTCTTATCATTCACATTCATATTATTGATTTATATGGGTCATATTTACATATAATGTGAAGTGGTGATTGTGTGTCTCCAGTCTTCTGAGGGAATTACTTAATATTGACTTTGTTCTGAAGTAATTGTCTAGGTTGGCTTTGGTTCCACACATCACAATGTAATTAGGTTTCTGTGTCTGACTTGTTTTGTGAAATATAATGTCCTCCAGTTCTATCCATTTTGCTACAAATGACAGGATTTCATTCTTCTTTATGGGTGAATAATGCTCCGTTTAGTGAAGTTAATCTCCCGAAGGCATGGAGCCAAGTGCAAAACAAGATAGGATGCTAGAAGAGATTGCCTCAGGGGTTGGCAGCAGTCATTAAGACTTCCTCGCAAGGGGAATTTTCTCACAAGACAGAATTTTGAAATAGACTTTTGTTGCTTTTCTCTGTGTTGTCATAATTCTTACTGCCCCAAAATTGATACCATGATTAAAATTTCATTTTCCAGGTGTGATGGAGCCTGCAGCTTCGTGTTTAGCTGGATTCTTCATGGCCTTTCTTCTCTTACAGATCACTGTACTCACCCAAGGTAGAGACATCCTTCCTATTTTACTGATTAAATTTGTTCTTTGACAATTCCATACATGCTTACAAGGCATTCTGCATACTCCCCTGCAACCCTCTCTTATTCCTGTTTCATCCTTGTCAACTCCTCTTTTCCTGACATGTCCCCTCCTCAGAATTGTGCTTTTTGCTTTGTTTTGTAACCCACTGATTTTAATCAGAATTGTCTGTGTGCCCACAAGTTTGGGACTATCTCTTGGGTCATGGTGGGTTCACACAACAGAAGACAATGACTGTTTCTGCCTTAAAATCCACCAGTAGCCAATAGTTCAGCATGGAAGAGTAGGACCATTACTCTTGAAAATGAGTAATTTTATGAATGATGATGACAGTCTCAGTCTTTTTTTTTAATTAAGAGATTTTTTCATTCATTTTACACACCAATCAAAGATCCCCCTCTTCCCTCCTCTCACCACCCCAGCCTCATCCTCCCAACCTATCCCCAACAAGAAGGCAAGGGCCTCCCATTGGGAGGCATATCCAGTAGAGGCAAGTCCAAGCCCTTCCCCTTGCCGCAAGGCTGCACAAGGTGTCCCATCATAGGTAGTGGGCTCCAAAAAGTCCACTCATGCAGCAGGGATGGATTCTGATCCTACTGTCAGAGGGTCCCCAAGCAGATCAAGCTACACAACTATCTCGCCATGCAGAGGCCCTAGTCCAGTCCCATGCAGGTTCCACAGCCATTGATCCAACTTTCATGAGTTCCCACTAGTTGGCTTTGGTCATCTCTGCAAGTTTCCCCAACATGATTCGGATGCACTTGCTTATAGAATCCCTCTTCTCTCTTTTTGACTGGACTTCTGGAGCTCTACCTGGTGTTTGGTTGTGGATCACTGCATCTGCTTCCATCAGTCTTTGGAGAAAAACTCTGTGATGACAGTTGGGGTATTCACTGACAGTCTCAGTCTTATGAAGGTCCATTGCAGGCTACTAAAACTGCTGTGAGATCATGTTTTCAATGGCTGTATTGTTCTTAAAGACAGCATTTTATAGCGGTTTTCCCTATCACCTGGCTCTTACGTTTTCTCTGCTTCCTCTTTCCCAATGTTCCCTGACCTTTAACTATCATTTATTCCAAGTATCTTGAGCACCCACGAGTCTCTGCATTCACCATCCAATAGCATAGGAAATAAGGCCAAGAATAGGCTAATGGTACTTCACGAAGTTAAATAGTTTTTTAGCAAAGAAACTGTCAATAAAGTGAAGAGGCAGCCTTTAATCCTAAAGCTTGGGAGTCAGGGACAGGTGGATCTCTGTGAGTTAAAGGCCTCCTTGGTGTACATCAAGAGTTCCAGGCCATCAGAACAATGTAATGAGACCTTGTCTCAAAAACAAAACAACCAAACCAAACCAAACAACATAAAAGAGTGTATTTGTAACAATAATTCAAGAAAAAGAGGTCATGAATTTAATTGAGAGAGCAAGGGGGTACATGAGAAGGGTTCGGGGAAGGGAGGAAAGGAAGAAAATTATGCAACTATAATTTCAAAAATGAGAAAATTATTATCTGCATATATCTATCTATCTATCTATCTATCTATCTATCTATCTATATATATATATTTTGGTTTTTCGAGACAGGGTTTCTCTGTGTAGCTTTGCGCCTTTCCTGGAACTCACTTGGTAGTCCAGGCTGGCCTCGAACTCACAGAGATCCGCCTGGCTCTGCCTCCCGAGTGCTGGGATTAAAGGCGTGCGCCACCACCGCCCGGCTGCAAATATATTTTTAATTGAAATAGAATTACATCACCTTCTTCCATCCAGACACTCCCAGGTATCCTGCCTGCAATTCCTCTTATGTCATTCCACCAATCTCAAGTTGACAGCATTTTTTATTTAATTATTCCTGTCATGCACAAATATATACAAATGTATAAATATAACTTGTTGAATATTTTTGTGCTATTTGTGTGTATATAGTCTCAGGGCTGATAACTCTGCATTGGAGAACCAATAAAGGTGCTCCTTTTCCCAGCAATCACTAGTTGCTTTAGTTCTTTGTCTAGGGTTGAACCTTAATTTCCTCCTTCAACATTAATATGCCTGTTGATATTGCTATTGTTCTAGTATTGTTTATTAGCCATTTCTTGGAGAGACTGACTGTCTCAGTGCAGACCTGGCATTCTGGCTCTTACAAAATTTCCATCCCCTCTTGTGCTATGTTCTCTGAGCTGTAGAAGTAGAAACTATAATGTAGATGTAGCTTGTGGGTTGGGCTTCCCACAATCCTTTGTTTCTGTATTGTGCCTAGACACAGTTTCTGGGATGGTCTCCATTTTCTGAAGAGGGATATTTGCTAGATGAGGGGGTGGTAGCTTCACCTGAGGACATAAATAAAAAAAAGCTATGGATCCATTGTGAAATGTCATCCTTCACATGGTTATGAAATCATGAATTAATCTCCCAAGTGAAGCTAATATAATTTTCTTCTTATATATCAATGCCTGAGATGATACGCATAGTAATACACACATATTTATACACCAAGTATAAAACAAACATGTACATATATGTGTGTATGTATAGAAATGCATGTAGGCATGCATGCATGAAAATACTTATATATCCATGTATTCTTTTTGACAATTTCAAATGAACTATGTACAAGTTTTGCAAATTTCTTTTAAAATATGAGTTTTAAGTAATTTTATAGCCAGGTGGTGGTGGCACATGCCTTTAATCCCAGCATTCAGGAGGCAGAGCCATGTGGATCTCTATGAGTTTGAGGCCAGCCTGGTCTACAGAGCCGAGATCCAGGACAGGCACAAAAACTACACAGAGAAACCCTGTCTCGAAAAAAAAAAAAAAGTAATTTTATATGAATGTTTTGCTATTCTTTTTACAGTTTTGGAGAATTTCATCTTGTGATCACTTAAAACCACTTTACTTCTGTTCTACTATATAGATCTACTGAACTATTATGCTGCACTATTAAAGAATAATGAAAGATATGTTAAAGAAACATACACCATTAAAATAAGAATGGAAGATTTATTATTATTTCAAGATATTATATACAAATTCAATGTTACCAATTTAAATTATTACATATAAAACTTCACATATGTATAAATATATGTATGAAAATTTTAGTATTGATCTATCAAGTCACATGCAATTCTGCATCATCCCTTGTAATTTAGTTACACTTTCTCGAATGATTGAGCTTTTTAGAGAGTACTGACACCTCTGTGTATACATAGAATAGATCCTTTTATTTGGTGTGGCCCTTAGAGGAGCACAATCCATATCATTCCCTTCTGTAGTGAGGTTTTTACATGGGCAGGTGATAAACTCAGTTCATGAAGAGCTTCCCTTGCTCCTACAGGCCTCCAAAATGCTCACTGTTTCTTTCCTCTCTTCTTGTATTCACCTGGATGTGAGATGGATTGACCCAACATCATCTTTACCTTCTTGGGTTGAGAATTCTGATCACCAATCATCACCTTAAATTCTTTAATTCCTTTCCCCAGTAAGTGTTACAGAAGCAGATACATTGAGCATCTCTCTGCACCTTGTTGTTTCCCTGTTTTGATCCTCCAGTGGATGCTTATTTTGTAGGGTTTTTAATTAATTTTGGGAAATAGTTTTATAGTTTATCAACTTTGTGAGTTTATCTTCAGCAGGGAAGTTGTTTCAGTTTTCATATAATTCTTCCTTACCGCATCACGTAGAGTTTTGACAGCAAGAAGTCTAAATGTATTAATATATTAATTTTTAAAATCTGTTTTAAAAACTATGTTTATTTGCTATTTGCACAGTAGTCTAACTTTCTGAAGAACTTGATTCAGTGTCTATGCTCAAAATATGGTGATGTAAATGCCAAAGTAGCTAGTATAGAGATGGGAATACCTAGTTGAATTTGGTTTTGTCTTGGATTTATTGTTTATCTTTTTGTATTGAGATATATGTACATTCAGTAAAGCATATTAAGTGTACAACTCAGTGAAGTTTTGCTTATAGGGACATTCACGAATCCATTCTTCAGCTCCGGATACTGAACATTTGCAGCATCCCAAAATGTTGTTTTAACTTTTCCTAGGCAATACCATGCTCTTCTTGCCAAAGTGACCATTGTTCTCACTTCCATTGCCATTAATCACAAACATTACTGTATTATTTCATTTATAACAAACTTTCTAATAGCTAAAATTATTCACCATTAATCATTTATGATATGACAGGAGTTTGTTCTTTTGTATATGTTTTCAGTATTAGCATTTGGATTTGTTTGTATTATTTTTGTTGCTTTGAGTTTTAGGGTTATTAGGATTAATACTGTCATTAATAATTCTTAAAACATGTAAACATCTACTAAAAATTTCTGGGTTGTGAACAAAGGTATTTGTATAACTTTAGTTGATACTGACACTTTTCCATATAAATAGAGTCCTGTGTCTTATGATCTGTGGCAATGTCAGTTAGTCCTTGTCCTGCTTCTTCAACATTGTAATGGGGATCAATTATGTTTCAATGAGGTTTTGCTTTGCATTTCCCTGATGGCTGATGATGCTGGACATCCTTTCATATACTTTTTTGTCATTAGAACATCTCTTTAAATTAAATATGTCTCTACTGTTTTTCCATTTTAGAAAATTAGCTTGAATTTTTATAAAATAAGCACCTACTATCTATTTTGAACACAGTTCGTTTCTCAGATAGAGTATAGCTATCTTCTAGTCTGTGACTTTCTCTTTTTATCCATATTCTGATGTACAGAAATTACTAAATTTCATGAAATCTGATTTATCAGCTTTTCTCTGATTGTGTTTTTGTCTCTTTTCAGCTTGTGTTTACATAGAAGTATTGCTTTTGCCCTAATTGTGTCTATCCACATATAGGACACAGGTAGCATCCATTTGAGAATGAGCACTTCCACAAACTTTTCATATCTTGAATCCACGCTACCAATCATAACATCATCTTTCTCCTCTTCCTAGCTATGAGCTTGGATATACAGATTAACATTCAGGTTCCAGATGAAGAAGGGGTACTGGTGGAGTGTACTTCAGGAAGTTTGATCCCACCTGCTGAGATGACATGGAGAGACAGCAAGGGGAATATAATTCCACATTCATCAAAATTTGACTCTCAGGATGGATTATTGTACTTGAAGAGCAGCATTCTTCTAAAGAACAGAACACATGGTCCTGTTACTTGTTCCATTTACAATGTAACTACAAATCAAGAGAAAAAGAGAAGCATTGTCCTACCAGGTATGTTCTTATGCCTTGGTTCTATCAAAGATGAATTGTTTTAATCAAGGATTCAAATTGAGGAGAGAATTAAGTGAAATAATAAATGTGAAGTTATATTACAAGTTACAAAGTGCTGTAGAGCTGCACTATTTGAGTTGCTGGAAATCAGAAAAATACTGGATGCTATGAACAATGTTTTAAAGAAAGATATTGGGGCTGGAGAGAAGTCTCAGAGGTTAAGAGCACTTGTTCTCTATGAGGGCCTGTTTGGTTCCTAGCACCCATACTGGATGGCTCACAACCATCTGTAACTCTAGCTCAAGGGGATCCAGTGCCCTCTTCTGAACACCACATGCTCCTGCAGGAATGTGCACATGCATCCACTCTCACACATATATAGAAAATAAATCTTAAAGTAGCTATTGAAATAATTGGACAACGATCTCTCATTCTGTGTTGCATGTTAAGGATTCAAAAGCTTTGACTTCCACATAAATTTCTATTTCTAGTTTGGGCCCTTGAATATTGTTTCTCCTTTAAAATTATTGTTTGGTCTCCTCTGGAAAATAGCATATATATCTTCTGAGGTAAAAGGAAGATTAGAATCTTTCTGTATGTGCCTTTGTAGATAATAGGAGTCAAGACAACAGGGGAAAGGACATATTATAAATACAAAAATAAAGCACCAGGAAGCATGAAAGAGATGATGGGAGGATGAAAGGCATAGGAACAAGAAGATTACACAGAGAGAACCAAGAAATAGCCTCCAGTCCTATCCCAGATTCTAGAGTGAGAAGTAAAGACAAAGCTTCAACCACAATCAAGCCTGGCAGTGTTATGACAGTCTGGCGATTCTTGCCATAGAATATGCCTGTAGTTCTCATGAGTCCAATTGCAGTGATTTGATGTAATAGTGACTCCTCTTGCATGACAAGACAGTATTGGTGGAAAAAAATCCATTTTTCTGCTCTCTGTCTCAGAGCAATGTACATGGACTCTGAGCTAGCAGTTCTACCTATCCTGTGTTACCCTCCATGGAGTTTGCCTTATCAGTGGCCCAGAAACCAAGGAGCAAGGCAACCTTGGAATAAACCATCTGAAATTATGAGCCTAAATAAGGCATTCCTTCTTTAAACCTTTTAAAAAACATTTTATTACAGTGATAAAAGTTTCTAATACAACATGTAAGTAAAGAGGCAGGATTATCAAACTCAACTATCCATGCAAAAGTGTTGTTGATGAAGGAAATGTATGCTTAACAGCCTCACTTAATTCTGTACTTTGTATTGTATACGTAGATAAGTGCTGTTAGTTAATGAAACTAGACTCAGAGGAAAAATAAGATTTGGAAGTTATTAGTCCCATAATAGGACAGAAATAGATGAAAGAAGATATTTTACCTTGTTAGCAAGGGAAGGCAAGATGGATAAGCCGTTAGAAAACCTTTGGACATTAGTTCAGTTCTTGGGACCCATATGGTGGAAGGTGAGGACCTGATACTAAAATTGTTTCCAAAGTCTGTGCCAAGGAACCACTTAAAATAGCTAAGTTAATAGGGAAAACAGAAAAGATAGATTTATTCAATGGGGCTACTTTGGGAAGAGGGGAAAAGAGATCCAGTGATTTCCCAAGTCCATCTTCAGGAACCCTAAGTGAGATAAAGGTTTAAGGAGATAACTAAGGATATGTTCATTCAGTTTTGGTGAGTTTCTTTGTGTGAGGGTTCCTAGTATGTAATTTGTACACTGCAAAATGAATATCTTGCAAATTGTCCCATGTACAGTTTTTGGAATTAAAATGAGCTACTGTGCACAAAATTTCCAGTTGTGCAATTTCTTCCGTGCCAATATGAACCTGAAGTAAGAGCAGATCCAACTGGCTAAACTAAGGCCCAGGTAAAAGCTAAGAATTCCTGGTCAAGGTGTGGCACCACCACAATTGACCCATCATTGTTTGGGTTTCAGTTTCATCCTCCAAGGGAGTCTGACAAGTTGCTAGATCTGTGTGAAATGTCTATTCAGGGGAGACAAGTTTCCCTTTGTACTACAGCCTTTTCCTTCTCCCAGTATGAGATTCCTGGGGACATTATCATTTCTTTGGGGGCACATTGTTTCAATAGCCTGAGAGTCAGATTGAGAGACACAAATGTCTCCAGAATATAAGGATATTTGGGAGAAAAAGGTGATTGACTGTCTTAACCACATGTGAATCCTGTGAACTGAAATAAAGACCAGCAGGGCATGATATTCCATGGATATAATAGTAGCATGAATGTTATCGGGAAAATCAACCACTTTCTAATTGGATTTAAAGCTTGCTCCACAGGAAGAAACACATACCTGGTATTTGTAAATCATATAGGCCCCAGGATTGAACCTACTATTATTTTGCTAAATGAATATAGTGTCAAATTGTCTTTTAAATTGGAATCTCTCTACCCAGAGATTAGTGCAGCTTTAAGATCATTTCAGGGAAGTTTTTGTGCATTGGATATTGGTTAACACAGGGACTCACAATTGGTCAAAATGTAAAGAATAGATGTTTTTGGAGTGCTCAACCACAAATGGTGCATCCAAGCCAAATAGTATTACTCAAATATTTGGGAATTGGTAGACATAAACAGAGCACTGGAATCTGAACTAGACAGGGAGAATAGAGTGAACCTAGCACTCTGCATGCTGGTCCTGGTACTCTCAGGCCCTGCTCAAGTAACCCACTTTGCAGAAAAGGGGCTGCAGGAAGCAAGCAATCCACTACACTATGTCTCCGGGATTTCTCTCTCTTCCTCCTTTCCAGCAACAAACCACATGTGGAGGAAAGATAGGTCCAGATACTGAGAAACTAACTTATTGCAATCCTCAGGTCCTACTCTTGGCCACCGTGAATGGAGCTCTGACCATCATGATGCTCACAGTCAGAATTCCCTTCTGCCAAAACATCTCAGTGTTTCCATATCTGATCCCCCTCCTCTTCCCAGCTGCCTCAGTGGCCCTCTTCCTTCCAGGCACTGTGGCAAGGGTCCCTAGACTCCCTGAGTATTTAATCATCCTTCTCTTGAGGTACTTAGATTATCTCAGTTTCAAATAATAACCAACTCTCAAGATGACCAAGAAAGAACAATTGGAAGTGGGACATGGGCAAGACATATCCTTCAAAAGCATGTACCTTTTTTTTACCTACTTTATCCACTCAATCCCATTGACTAACATTTTTGCCATTTTCAAAAAATCCCATCAAATTATGAATCCATCAATGGATTAATCCACTGACAAAGTCAGAGCCCTCATGATCCAGACACTTCACAGTGATTGGATCTGCCAAATGAGGACTAAGCCTCAGTTGTGAATCTTTTCATTGGAAATGTATATCCAATTCATAACACCAAGTCCTTCTATTCTCTTTCAGATGTCCTCTTCAAACCAGAGTATATGTCATTGATGGCAAAGAGACCTTCATGTCCTGTAATATATTTGATCATTATACTTGTTTTATATTGTCTCAGAGGAATACTTGTTTGTTGTCTCAAATGGAAAACATGTGAATTCATGAGAGGTAAAGAGTTTCAAAACTATTTATTCTTGAAACACAATACTCAAATGTGATATATACAAAATGATTTACCCCAGAACTTTAGTGTATCCCAATACTCTTTGTCAAAGCGGGTCTCAAAATCTTCAGAGATCCTCAAGCTAAGCTGCCACCTTTCTTCCTTGTGTGGTTCTTCAGGGCTAGCATGCAGCTATCATCACAATTGCTTGCAAGGTCTCAGGATTCCTTCAGAGGTATCATTACTAATTTCTGTTCACTTTTGGTGTTTGTGGAATCTGTATCATAATATATTTTCTCTTCTATAAGTACTTGTCAGATTTTAGAGTTATTGCTGAAAATTTCTAGGCTTTCTTACATTGTTAGAAAGAGAAAGAGAAACATATAGCAACAAATAGCTGGATTATTCATCTTTCCTAATATTTTCCCAAGTTTTCCTTTGTTCTCATGAGACTAACCTGAATACTATATACATTAGGGGTGATCTTAATTTAAGGGAGCTAAGACCGGTGGTATAGAAGGCACGGGATATGTTTGGAACAGGAGTGCTGGACATCAGGACATGATGAGTAAACACTTTAGACCGTTAAAATATTCAGATAAGCCAGCATGCTCTAGGTCTGTCACCAGGTAGGTTACATTCTACACAATGTGGAGGAGAATAGGAAGGGGTTCTTCATTCTAGCCTTTATTTGCCCAAAGCCCAAATGACCATAAAATTTTAGCTTCAGAAACTTTAGACTTCATAAGAGAAAAGAACTTTTGTATATTCTAAGTTATTATGGGTGAAGGATGATATTAACTAGGGGACTTTGGAGATAATTTCATCTAGTTCAAAGGATGAAGTCCATTTGAGAGTTACTGTGAAAATGAGGCCTAGCTTCATTAAAAAAAGCATGAGCGCACATGATACAATGTGGGCAGTCATGTACACAATGCATAAAGACATCTAACATCCTAAATGTATATTCATAATATGACGGGGAATAGAATAAATAGCTTGTAATCAATATCTTACTAATTTTTCATAAACCATGAGCTCTCAAAACATAAGGTAAAACAATCTTATAAAGTTTTCAGCATGAAACACACCTTGCTTACAGAATGCACTTTATACACTATATTAAAATAGAAAACAAATCATTTATACCTACTCTCATACCAAAGAAATAAAAGTTATTAAGGAACCAAGTTATTAAGGACCCAAGTTTTAGGTAAATTGTTTAAGCTGAATAAATCTATAAATGTAGATCATAAATTGAAATGAAAGTGTTTCAAATCCCAGACACTTTGCTCCAACTATGATACTCTTCATCAAGATGTGGACTAGCAAAACCTTCCTTGCACTTTCAATGGTGGAGTGGCTACTACTTCACTAGCCAACTTGACTTATTTATTCATTTATTCAACATTTATATATTGGATAGTTCTTAAATATTGGAGCTATTATAGACATTGACAATAAAATAAAAGAATGAAAAAGAGCTTATTTTGAATAAGAAAACTCTTTTTTTCTTTAATGTTCTTGTTGGTAATTGCTGATATTTATGATAAAATATAGTGAAAAAAAAACACCAACCAAAAATACAACAAGAAAACTCATATATACATAAAGTGAACAAAGCCAGTATTCAACACAAACTGAAACAAACAGGCATCAACAAAACAAACTTTTTTAGATCTTTTCACCCTTAGTGTTCATAGTTATTGGTTTATTGCATGGTACAGTTCAGAATAACCCAACTATCTTTGCTATTTACTTTCTTCTCTAAATGTTCAGCCAATCAGTCATTTTTCTAATATATGTTTTGGTAAGCAGCAGCCATCTGCCGTGAAGCAATCTTTCTCACGCTGTAGTAAGCTTCCTAGAATATACACAGATCAAGCTAAGAAGGAATGAATGGCCAAGCAGCAAGGATGCTACAGGATATTATGGGTGCGTGGAAGTCATTACAACTGCTGAAGTCTTGGCTTCCAAGGCAGCTTTTCCCCCTTTTAGCTAGTTTTGAGTTTCAAAGAAACCCTACTCTATGGATCCTACAACCTTTGTGCACTTAAGCATTGAGACAAGGCTATAGTGAACAGGGTCCCACGGCATCCAAATTATATTTTCAGGCTAATTACATGCTGCACACTCACAAGAAAAGTGAGAAGATATTTATTATTTGATTTTATTTTTAAGCCTGCTCTGTCTTCATCTTAAATTGCCATAAATCTTAGCTTCACCCAATCCTAAATTCTATCTTCACTAAAAATTCTCAACTGTAATCCTAACCCTAGTCCTAAAAATCTTGCTTATGAAACTTTAGCCCTGACATAGGTTAAATGAACAAATGGATACAGCTCTGAGACCTTCAAGACACTACCTATATTCAGCATTTCTCTTGCTATTCCAATGCATTCTCAAAGTCCTAGCCTCCTAAATCTTCTTACTGACTCTTTTCCAGGTTCGAATAAAATGAAGCTTTGCTATGAGTTTATGTGGGAGTGTCTACCATTAGTTTTGTATATTGGCTTCCTCCCTCTCTATTTGAATTTCAGGAGCAGAGGTGAGTGCAACTAGACTGGGATCTGTCATTTCACCTTGCCTTTGTCCAATGCCTTCTCATCTTGGAACTATGTAGACAAAGCTGAGTAGTCTTTGTTGCAGAAGCAGCAGGCAGAGTTTCAGTGACATCCCAGTGGCTTCCTGTACTTCCTTGTAACTATATATTTTCCAAAGTTTTAGGCTTCTATCATGGCTGTTTGTATTTTCATACTCACAGTTACAGCTGCTTGTATAGCAATGAAAAGATTTATTTCTTCAGGTCTGGCCTCCATTTAATCCCACATGTATAGGCCTTCTTTTACAAAGTACAATTTTTATGTCACCAACATTTATCCTAAGCCAAGAATTCCTAAACATTAAAAAAAACTTTTGGATTAGAGGTCCCCTATGTTAATTAATGAAAAAAATATAATTTTTCTTACTTGATTTCATTTTCATTTCCTGAGAATGCTGAAAGCTGATGTTTGATCCTCTTGGGTGTATATTTACAGGGCATTTGGAAGTCTGGTCATGCTACAACATATACTGTTTATAGGATAGTATCTGAGATTTAGAAAAACTTTTCATTTCATTGTGGATATTAGGAGGAAGTGTTTTATAAAAAATAACTATCAAAATAAACCAAAAGATCAAATTACTATTTGTAAGGTGTTTGCGCTCATTCATAAGACAGAATTATATTAGACATTAGATACAGATATACCCTCTTCTGATTTAACATATATTTCAGAATGGTTGTCAATAAAACTCATTCCATGTATTTCACTACAAATCATAAAAACAAGCCTCAAATCCTAAGAAAACTGAACTCAAAGGAAATATCTTAAAGAGTCAATGGAAAAATAGCAAAAGTGTATAAAGATATGAAGGTATAACTTCCAGCACTATGGTCTTGTGTGATATTTTGTTTGTATTCTGACAAATAAAGCTTGCTTGGAGTCAGAGGGTGGAGTTAGCCACTAGTTAACTATAGAGGTTTGGAGGACTGTAGAGAGAGGTACAGGAAGTGGTAAGGCAGGGCTGAGACTGGATCTCAGCCCTTTTGCTCAGCGGAACAGAAGAGGTAGGAAGTCACTGATGGCTGCTCCCTTGCTTCTCTGATCTTTCAGGTTTTTAACCCAAATATCTGACTCCTGGTTTTTATTGATAAGATTAATTATATTTATCCATCACGATGGAATACACTAAATGTCCTAAACCAGTCTTTCTGATTACAATACATCTTCCTATCCATCTAACACTTATACAACTATGTAATTTTGAAGTTATTTTGGCCACCAAGAAAGCAAAAATAGTATTTTACATAATAGAAAATATAAATATATATGAATCTTTTCTCCCTATCTCCCCTCTTCCATTCATTTTATGTTTTTGTTGGAATCCTTATACCCTGGTTTTAAAGTCCATATCATGATTAAATGGACTAATTCTAATTCTCAGAACCCTCATAAGGAGGAGTATAGTAGAAATATCCACATTCATCTAAGGAGCCCAAAGTAGTGAACACTGAAATAGTCTATAAAAAAAATTACCAAGTAAAAGAGTACATCTCATCATATCATGCACTAAGGACAGGTCCTGGTCCCACTGCCTGGGGGGGCCTCCCAAACTGTTCAAGCTAATCAACTGTCTCACTTATCCAGAGGGCCTGATCCAGTTGGGGGCTCCTCAGCTATTGGTTCATAGTTCATGTGTTTCCACTAGTTTGGTTATTTGTCCCTGTGCTTTTTCCAATCATGGTCTCAATACTTCTTGCTGCTCATACAATCCTTCCTCTTTCTCGCTGATTGGACTCCCTGAGCTCCACCTGGCTGAGCTGAATCCCCAGGGGAGTCCTTGCCCTGGAGGAGATGGGAATGGAGGGTGGGTTGGGGGGAGGGCGGGGAGGGGTGGGAAGAGGCAGGACAGGGGAATCTGTGGCTGATATATAAAATTAAATTAAATTATAAAGTAAAAAAGAAAAAAAACAGTACATCTCATGGAATACTAAGAATAATAGAATTTAGGAGCTGGAGAAATTGCTCACTGGTTAACAGCACTTGTTGCTCTTGAAGAGGATCTGGATTCTGCTCCAGCATCTATGTGGCAGCCCACAACTCACTATTACAATTTTATGTGTTCTGAAGACCTCTTCTGGCCTCTAACATTCATACACATAAAATAAAAAATAGGTAAATTTTTGCAAGAAGGAATAGAATTTAGAAATTATTTTTCCTTAGCAAGATTGCAGCTATTAACTTGTATGAATTCCTTGCAAAATTTGAAGACAAAGACAATTAATTGATGGACTCTCCCATGGCATATTGAGGAGTAGTTGTCAAAGAGGGTTAGATTTTCAAAATTAGTGTTGATGGTCTGGACTTCCTATATATTAAGCATATGAAATATATCTTTTGTATAAAATGAAGAGTATTTTTGTATTTAAAAATGAAAAGTATTCATTAAAATATTAACAATGAAAAACCTTAATAAAAATATGATAATATTTCAAAAGTAGAATTCTATATAGATTCAATTATAGCAACTAAAATTTAAAACAACAACTCAGTGGCAACATTAAACAGGAGATCAAACATAATGGAAAAAGAACTGGACTTTAGATATTAGGTAAGATGCAGTGTGTGTATAGCTACCACATAAGACATGGACTCCAGATTATGCATCAGTTGGCTCTCATCAGAGAAGCTCATGTTTTAAGTAGATGACAGTTAACACAGAGATCAAGGAGCAGAGCATAAAAGACATTTGGATGGTCATTCCTAACCAGGTTATTTATGTCCTGCCTTCCTCAGAAGGCTCATGGATTATTGCAGAAGACAAGAAAAAAGTTGGTGGATGACTACAAGGACACAGTGTTTTCCATATGCAGCAGGGCAATTACACATATGAACTCATAGCAATTGAGATGACACACACAAGACCTGTGCAGACTCAGGCCAGACAAATCCAGCATGGAGAGGTGGGTAGGGCATGAAATCATACCCCTAGTTATAGAGGTATTGGCAGCTGATAACTGCTGGGAGAGGGAGAGTCAATTTTCTTTGAGGCTGTGGCTTCTAGTGTGCTCACTGCCCTCCAGTGAAGGACACACATCCAATATTACAAAGGCAGTACAAACTACTTGGGGTGTGTGTGTGTGTGTGTGTGTGTGTGTGTGTGTGTGTGTGTGTGCATTCACATGTGTGCATACATCTCTCTGTGAGAGTACTTTTGTTTTTCATAATAAGTATCTGTTGGGCACCATAGTTTCCTCTATTGGAATGTTCCTTAAGGCCTGAAAGATTCTTACCATTGCATTGACTGCTTCCTTTTCTCCTTTGTTTAACTCTTCTTTTATATCTCTGGATGACTACTGATCTCAGCTTTCTACTTGATTCTATTTCTTACTATATTTTCCACCTTGGTTTGTTAACAATTTCCAACTCAAACTCAAATGTAGTAGTTACAATTATAATAACCTATCCTTTGCATTCTTAATTTCATGTATCACATTTCAATATAGCTATCCACTTATTGCTTCATGGATTGACTTGGAGCTCTCAAATGTTACAATCACATTCTTAGTATGCTGCATATTAGAATCTGCTAGTCTACTGTGCTACAATGGCAGACCATGTTGACTTATCCAACTGCTCAATGTACCAATGTATTTCCTCTGTGCTTTTCCTGCAACATCTTGCTTTGGCAACTCCTAAACCAGAGAATAAAATTAAACAAGAGGATGCTCTCAACTACCTGTGGATAAACGAGTAAAAATAACAATATCTTACAACTTATATGCATGGCTCAAGCTGAACTGCACAAACTCTTTGACTTCCTTAAACTGTAAAGTTATGTCATAAAACTTTGGATTGGTGGCCTAACCTTTACCCCTCAAATGAAGGCTACTCAAAATCCCCTCCTCTTTCTTGTTGACTAGGATTCTGTGATTTGGCTTCTTAATTTATGCATATTTGTCTGTCTCTATTTTAATCATTTTAATATATGCTTAACATTTCTTTCTTTTTTTTCCAGCTTCTATTTTGGACAATGCATACCCACTGTACAGTAATTGGCTGTGGGATGTATGCATAATCTTGGTTGTAATGATGCTATTTTTCACTGGACTCATTCTGCTTCTATTTGTGACTCTAAACAGTAAGTGATGCAGTGGGAGTGGGAACTCCAAGGATGAGTCTCCTGTCTCTCTAACTGAATCCCCATGAATCTAATCTTCACTTCGTAAAACTGGAGGAAAATAGAGGCCTGGGTTATTTCTATCTTTCTTTACTTCCATAAGCAGATTGGGAGATATTGTGGGATTCGTTTAGACCTTGCTAAGTGTTCAGGTAGGCTTGACTGTGGGAAACTATCTCTATTAGGTTAGTTGAGATGGGAAAATTGAGACCTTAACTGAGGACTTTCTTATAACATTCACTGTTCTTCTTTTAAGTACTTTCAGTGATGCTAACCTCAACTATGGGGAGCTCTATCAGCCATCTCCTCCACAGTGCTGTTACCATGTTGAGCTTTGCCCACTGAGAAAGTTTAATTTCCCATCTTTAATGCTGGATTCTCACCGAATGCTGTTTTAAGGAAGCATCTTCTGCAACTTACCAAGACTAAACTAACTCCACGGATTTTCATTCATCCAGCTCCTGTTTCAAACTCTCTTTGAACTCTTACAAAGCCACTCAATAAAGCAGACTCAGAAAAGGTCTCCAGGGGCACCCAGAGAGAAAATAGACCCCCCCAGAGCTATTTAAATCTATTAAAATAGAGAGAATCTTGCTTTTCTTCTTTGAGTTCTTAGTTTCATTAATAAAATAATTTAAAGACAGACATGAAGGGAAACTGTGGTACAGTTTTATTAGTGTAAGAGAACATCATCAGGACACTCAAACTGTAAATCTTAGCCTCTGCTGGCATGAAGAGATGAGGAAGAGGAAGAGAGACAGTCATATGTTTTGGAGACTGGCAAGTACTCACACCCAGAAGGGAAGACTTGTTTCACAGAGTGAATGAGAGAGCCCAGTGTGTGTGAAATCATGTTTAGACATTTTCAATATCAAAAAGAAAAAGATAGAAGAAAAAGGGAAAAGGCATAAACACCCAAAACACTAATAAAAGTACATTTTTCTTTTCTTAAAACAATATTGTTTGGCATCATAAGGTAAAAATTTTTGTCATCACAACATTTTATAATGGCTACATAAATTTTAATACAGGTTTTCTTCCAACACATGTTCTAAAAGGAAACAATGCATACTTTTATTGATTGATTGCTATGGATTTCTTTTTTCAGGAATATTCTTTCCTTTTGGTTTAATGCAATCCCCAAATATGATTTATTCCACTGTTTCCTTTCCAATAGCCAAAGAACAGAAAGCACTGTGCCAACCACCGGAGGATGAAATCCTACCCTTATACCAGCTTTCACAGGAGTTCACAGAACAACGGTCACCATCTCCGGTAACTCTTTCGTATGTATGTATGTATGTATGTATGTATGTATGTATGTATGTATGTATGTATCTATCCATCCATCGATCTATTCATTCATTCATTTTACATCTTGGCCACAGTTTCCCCTCCCTCCTCTCCTTCCAGTCCCTCTGCCCCATCCCACCTCTGCTTCTACCCCCCACCCCATCCACCCCATCTACATTTCTGTTAGAAAGGGCAGGTCTCCCATTAGTATCAACAAAACATGGCATACCAAGTTGCAGTAAGACTAAGTGCCTCCCCATGTATTAAGGCTGGATGAGGTGACCCAGCATGAGGAGTAGGTGCTCAAAAACTGTAAAAGGATTGGAGACAGCCCCTCTTCCCACCATTAGGAATCCCACAGGAGGACCACAATACACAACTGTAACATATGCGCTGAGTGCCTAGGTCAGTCCCATGTAAGCTCCATGGTTGTTGGTTCAATATCTGTGAGCCCCTATGAACCTAGGTTAGTTGATTCTCTGAGTTTTCTTGTGGTGCCCTTGACCCCTCTGGCTCTTTCACTCTTCTCCTGTTCTTCTGCAAGATTCCTGAAACTCTGCCTAATGTTTAGTTGTGGGTCTGTCCTGTTTCCACCAGTTACTGGATAATGCTTCTCTGACGACAGTTGGGCTCGGCACCAATCTGGTCACAGGAGACAGCCAATTTGGCATATGTATATGGTATTGCTATAAGCTGGGATCTTCCTTGTAGATTCCTGGGAGATTCCCTTACGCAAGGTTTTTACCTGATCTCAAAATACTCCTCCCTTTCCAGTAGTCTTTTCATTACTCTCCTTCATCCTCCCACCCCCCGCATCCGGATCATTCATGTTCCCATCCTCACCTGCCCTCGGTCCACTCATGGAATCTCTTCTATTTCCCCTTCCAAGGGAGATCTGGGTGTTCCTCCCATGAACCCTCTTCGTTATCTAGTCTCTCTGGGTCTGTGGATTGTAGCATAGTTCTTTATTTTACAGCAATATCTACTTATTAGTGAGTACTTACCATGTTGGTCTTTACTGGTCTGGGTTAGTCCACTCAGGATGATTTTTTTTCTAGTTACACCCATTTGCCTTAAAATTTCCTGGTGTCCTTGTTTTTAAAAGTTGAGTAATATGCCGGGCAGTGGTGGCACATGCCTCTAATCCCAGCACTCAGGAGGCAGAGGCAGGAGGATCTCTATGAGTTCAAGGCCAGCCTGGGCTACAGAGTGAGTTCTAGGAAAGGCACAAAGCTACACAGAGAAATGCTGTCTCCAAAACAAAACAAAAGTTGAGGAATACTCCATTGTGTAAATATACCACATTTTCTTTATCCATCCCTCTGCTGAGGGACATCTAGGTTGTTTCCAGGTTCTGTTTATTACAAATAAAGCTGATATGAACATATTTGAGTAAGTATCTTGTGGTATGATTGAGTATCTTTGGGTATATGCCCAAGAGCAATATAAGTGGATCTTGTGGTAGGTTGATTCCCAGTTTTCTGAGAAACCACCATTGACCTCCAAAGTGACTGTACAAGTTTGCACTCCTACCGGCAATGGAGGAGTGTTGCCCATGATTCACATTCTATCCATCATGAGCTGTCACTTGTGGTTATGATCTTAGCCATTCTGACAGGTGTAAGATAGCATGTCAGAGTCATTTTGGTTTGCATTTCCATGATGGCTAAGGATGTTGAACATCTCCTTAAGTGTTTCTCATCCATTTGAAATTCTTCTGTTGAGAAATCTCTGTTTAGATCTATACCGCATTTTTTTTTATTTTGCAATACAATTCAGTTCTACATATCAGCCATGGATTCCCTTGTTCTCCCCCCTCCCGTCCCCCTCACCTTCCCCCCAGCCCCCCCATTCCCATCTCCTCCAGGGCAAAGCCTTCCCCACAGACTGAGATCAACCTGGTAGACTCAGTCCAGGTAGGTCCAGTCCCCTCCTCCCAGGCCGAGTCAAGCAATCCTGCATAGGCCCCAGGTTTCAAACAGCCAACTCATGCAATGAGCACAGGACCCGGTCCCACTGCCTGGATGCCTCCCAAACAGATCAAGCCAATCAACTGTCTCACCCATTCAGAGGGCCTGATCCAGTGGAGACCCCTCAGCCATTGGTTCATAGTTCATGTGTTTCCATTCATTTGGCTATTTGTCCCTGTGCTTTATCCGACCTTGGTCTCAACAATTCTCGCTCATATAAATCCTCCTCATTCTCGCTAATTGGACTCCCAGAGATCCACCCAGGGCCTAGTCATGGATCTCTGCATCCAGATCCCTCAGTAGTTGGATGAGGTTTCTAGCACGACAATTAGGGTATTTGGCCATCCCATCACCAGAGTAGGTCAGTTGGGGCTGTCTCTCGACCATTGCCAGCAGTCTGTTGTGTGGGTATCTTTGTGGATTTCTGTGGGCCTCTCTAGCACTTTGCTTCTTCCTATTCTCATGTGGTCTTCATTTACCATGGTCCTATTCCTTGTTCTCCCTCTCTGTTGTTGATCCAGCTGGGATCTCCCGCTCCCCCAAGCTCTCTTTCCCTCGACCCTCGCCTTTCACTACCCCCACTCATGTCCAGGCTGTTCATGTAGATCTCATTCCATTTCTCTGTCATTGGGCGATCCCCGTGTCTTTCTTGGGGTTTTGTTTTCCAGGTAGCCTCCCTGGTGATGTGAGTAGCAGACAAGTCATCCTTGTTCCACATCTGTTGTTGTTGAAATTCAGTTTTAATCCATGGTGGTCTGATAAGATACAGAGGGTTATATCAAATTTTTTTATCTGTTGAGATTTGCTTTGTGGCCAAGTATATGGTCAATTTTAGAGAAGGTTCCATGTGGTGCTGAGAAGGAGGTAAATACTTTTGTGTTTGGGTGAAATGTTCCATAGATATCTATTAGGTTCTTTTGAGTCATAATGTCTGTTAGTTCTGTTATTTCTCTGTTTAATTTCTGTCTGGATGACCTGTCCAAAGGGGAGAGTGGGGTTTTAAAGTCTCCATTTTTTCCAACCCTTTATTCTGCGGTACTATTTGTCTTTGATGTTGGGGTATGCTTCTTGTATACAGCAGACTCATAGAACTTGTTTTTCACATGCTATCTGTTAGCTTATGTCTTTTTATTAATGAATTGAGTCCACTGATATTGAGGCATATTAATGACCAATGATTGTTAATTCCTGTCATTTTGTTATTGTTGATGGTAGTGTGTGTGTGTTTCCCTTCTTTGGGTTATGCTGCTGTGAGATTATCTACTGCCCATGTTTTTGTAGGTGTAGTTAACTTCCTGGGGTTGGAATTTTCCTTCTAGTACCTTCTTTAAGGCTAGGTTTGTGAACAGATATTGTTTAAATTTAACATTGTTGTTCAATATATTGTTTTCTCCATCTATGGTGATTGACAGTTTTGCTGGGTATAGTAGACTGAGCTAGTATCTGTGGTCTCTTAGAGTCTGTAAGACATCAGTTCAGGCCCTTCTGGATTTTATGGTCTCTGTTGAGAAGTTAGGCATGATTCTAATAAGTCTGCCCTTACATGCTACTTGGCCTTTTCCCCTTGTTGCTTTTAATATTCTTTCTTTCTTATGTATGTTTAGTATTTTGGTTATTATGTGGTGAGGGGATTTTCTCTTCTGATCCAATATATTTTGTACTTTTTAAGCTTCTTGTACTTTATAGGCATGTTCTTATTTAGGTTGGGAAAATTTTCTTCGATGATTTTTTTTTTTTTGAGACAGGGTTTCTCTGTGTAGCTTTGCGCGGATTCCCGGAACTCACTCTTTAGCCCAGGCTGGCCTCGAACTCACAGAGATCCGCCTGCCTCGGCCTCCCAAGTGCTGGGATTAAAGGCGTGCGCCACCAGCGCCCAGCCTTCTTCTATGATGTTTTAAATATATTTTCTAGGTCTTTGAGCTGGTTTACTTCTTGTGCTTCTATTCCTATTATACTTATGTTTGGTCATTTCATAGTGTCCTAGATTTTCTGGAAGTTTTGTGTTAGAAATTTTTTTGATTTAACATTTTCTTTGACTGATGATATTTGCTCTATCATGTCTTTAACACCTGAGATTCTGTCTTCCATCTCTTATATGCTATTGGTGATGCTTGTATCTGTAGCTCCTGTTTGCTTTCTCAAATTTTCCATTTCCATCATTCACTCAGTTTGTATTTTCTTTATTTCTTCTATTTCCATTTTCAGGTTTTGAACAGTTTTCTTTGTCTGTTTGTTTGTGCTTTCTTAGTTTTCTTTTAGAAGTTTATTGATTTTTTTCCAATATTTTGTTTGTCTTTTTCTCACTTTCTTTAAGGGATTTTTTCATATCCTTTTTAAGAACTTCTATCACCTTTATAAAGTAATTTTGAGGTTATTTTCTTGTGCTTCAGCTGTGTTTATATGTTTAGCATATAAAGGCAGACCTATTAGAATCACATCTGACTTCTCAGTGGAGACTCTAAAATCCAGAAGGGCCTGGATTGATGTCTTGAAGACTCTAAGAGATCACAGATGCCAGCCCAGAATACTTTACCCAGCAAAACTGTTAATTGCCATGGATGGAGAAAACAGGTCTTACTGCTATAGAATAGCTGGGCTCTGGTGATGCCATATTGTCTATTCTGTTATTGATTGTGTTCTTACACTGGCATTTAGGCATCTGGATTTCGGATGATTATAGGTCTAGGTTATTTCTGCTCTGGGGAACCAGCCCCTAAGGCAGCATAGGGTTTGAAAGGAATCCACAGCGTTTTTCTATCTGAGGGGTTAGAGAAAATGAGGACACTCACACACTCTCTTGATGGTTTCTTCTTTTATTCTCTCATGATGTTCTCACTCATATTGTTCTCCCTTGTTGCTCTCTCCTCTCATGTCTTTTTACAGCTTACATATCCCCAAAAACTCTTTTAGGCAAAACAGGAGTCACAAAAAAGTCTCATGCTATAGGTAAAAATATAATTAGAAACAGACATCGCAACAACTCTCATGCAATATATCTAAATAGAATGCAAG